ATGAACTACATGTGCATAATGTATTGGGTTTAATGAACTACATGTACATAAGGTATTGGGTTTAATGAACTACATGTACATAATGTATTGGGTTTAATGAACTACATGTACATAATGTACTGGGTTTAATGAACTACATGTACATAATGTATTGGGTTTAATGAACTACATGTACATAATGTATTGGGTTTAATGAACTACATGTACATAATGTATTGGGTTTAATGAACTACATGTACATAATGTATTGGGTTTAATGAACTACATGTACATAATGTATTGGGTTTAATGAACTACATGTACATAATGTATTGGGTTTAATGAACTACATGTACATAATGTATTGGGTTTAATGAACTACATGTACATAATGTATTGGGTTTAATGAACTACATGTACATAATGTATTGGGTTTAATGAACTACATGTACATAATGTATTGGGTTTAATGAACTACATGTACATAATGTATTGGGTTTAATGAACTACATGTACATAATGTATTGGGTTTAATGAACTACATGTACATAATGTATTGGGTTTAATGAACTACATGTACATAATGTATTGGGTTTAATGAACTACATGTACATAATGTATTGGGTTTAATGAACTACATGTACATAATGTATTGGGTTTAATGAACTACATGTACATAATGTATTGGGTTTAATGAACTACATGTACATAATGTATTGGGTTTAATGAACTACATGTACATAATGTATTGGGTTTAATGAACTACATGTACATAATGTATTGGGTTTAATGAACTACATGTACATAATGTATTGGGTTTAATGAACTACATGTACATAATGTATTGGGTTTAATGAACTACATGTACATAATGTATTGGGTTTAATGAACTACATGTTCATAATGTATTGGATTTAATGAACTACATGTACATAATGTATTGGGTTTAATAAACTACATGTACATAATGTATTGGGTTTAATGAACTACATGTACATTATGTATTGTATCATAAAAAGGAAGGGAAGAGGTGTAATGGGTGAATTGAGTACATCCTTTTAGCTTTTAATGTAATAAGGTGAACTTATCCTTATGTAATCTGATGTACCACCTTATAGTAACTAATACACACATACCACAAGTACATGTAAATGTATTAGTATAGGTATGTACATTAGTATAAGGTATATTAGTACATAAGATATGTACATTAGTAATTAAGGTTCATGTTGTTATATTCAATAGGTGTTAGTTGATGAATCAGCTCATAAGCCAGTGTATGCTGATCTGGCTATTGTTGCTAAAGGGAAGAGACCTCAGGCTGCACCAACACAAGAACAACCAGTGGTATATGCATCAGTTAACAACAAAGTAATGATAATGTACATGTACATGTAATGGTATCTTATACATCCTCTCCCTCTCTCCTCCTAGTCTGTTCCTCCTCCCATTCCTCCTCCAGCTGCTCCTCATAAAGTATTGTATACTGATCTATCAATAGCAGCTGGTAAGAGAACACCAAAGAATAAACCACCCACTGAGGAAAGAGTAGTCCATGCAGCAGTCAATGGAAATGTAAGCCAATACACATTATACTGTAAGGAGTAACACACCCTTTATCTCTCACCCCTCCCTCTCTCTCCCTCCCTCCCTCTCCCCCTCTCCTCCAGAGGAAGTTCACTACTCAAGAGCTGATCATGGATAGGTTAGGTGGTCTGGATATTCCTCCTCCAATACCACCAAAACCAAAACCTTGAAACCAACACAAAGACATCAATCCTCCCTGTCTCCAGTAGTATAGAATGGACATACTTTAGCATAATGTATTGTGAAACGATTAACTCTATCTTGTATTCTCTCTCTCTGTCTTTCATTATAATGTCATGGGTATATAGTGTATATTCTTTTGTAATTTTTAGTTCATTCTAATCAACAGAACCAACAATGTATAAAGTATTATAAAGTTATAGTTAACGACAGTAATATTAATGGTTCATCTACTCAATACAATTTTACTGGGAACAATCTATTGATGATCTTGAAGTTGATACAATATTGGATGGTTCATCATCAATAAACACACCTAGTCCTACCAATCCTGATTAAAGGTAGCTCCATTCCTTTATTCAGGTCATCTGAACATGAGCAGTACACAGTACTGGGAACACCTATACCATGCATCTGAGCATGAGCAGTACACAGTACTGGGAACACCTATACCATGCATCTGATCTTGAGCAGTACACAGTACTGGGAACACCTATACCATGCATCTGAGCATGAGTAGTACACAGTACTGGGAACACCTATACCATGCATCTGAGCATGAGCAGTACACAGTACTGTGAACACCTATACAGTCAAACCTGTCTAAACGGTCACTGCTTAAAACAGCCAGCTACTTTAAAACGGTCACTATTTAATGTCCCAATTTTTTGGACAATGACTGTAATACTAAACTTACCTGTCTCAGCGGTCACTCTGTAAGATGGTTAACGGTCACTGACAGAATTAATCTCCATCAAGACTGATAAAGACTACCACTGTGTACAGGCGGCCAAATAGCCACGCCTATTGTACCACGCCCATTTTGAATTAATTTTTACATCATTAATAATGATTAATTTTTTTTAAATTGTTATCTCAAATAATACCTTCGAAATAATACTATATACAACTCAGTTTAGGTCTTTAGGGGTACCTAAAAGTTCTTTAAGTCTTGTTATATAGTTTCTATGGCCAGTAAATGTGTACAAAATAATTTAAACTGTATTTAAAGGCATCTCTATAAAAAGGCCACCTGCATAAGACAGCCACTAAATGCATGTCCCAAGGTGACCGTTTTAGACAGGTTTGACTGTACCATGCATCTGAGCATGAGCAATACACAGTACTGGGAACACCTATACCATGCATCTGAGCATGAGCAGTACACAGTACTGGGAACACCTATACCATGCATCTGAGCATGAGCAGTACACAGTACTGGGAACACCTATACCATGCATCTGAACATGAGCAGTACACAGTACTGGGAACACCTATACCATTCATCTGAGCATGAGCAGTATACAGTACTGGGAACACCTATACCATTCATCTGAGCATGAGCGGTATACAGTACTGGGAACACCTATACCATTCATCTGAGCATGAGCAGTATTATATAGGCGGTAGCCTATATGTAGGGTTGAGGTTGATTTTTCAAGATGGCGACCAAATTTATAATTTTCAAATGATTATAACTCTTCTATCTTACGTTGTACAGCTTTATAAATGGCTTAGATGAGCTCTCCTTCACTGAACGATTCTCCTGGTACCTTTAAAGTGGACTGTAATGTAGCGGAAGGATTTCTGTATAATAGGCCCAAATTCAAATTTTTCAAAATTCTTCAGACTTTTTCTTCTTCTTCTTCTTCTTCTTTCATCTTCTTCTATGCACCGGATAATCTTTTAAACTAGAAAACAGCTCAAGTTGACTTTCACATCATTCCTTGGAGCGTGAGTCAAGGACTACAAAGGTGCTTTCCATATCTTAATTCATATTAGATTATAAACTAGTTATTTGGGCGTGATATCACCGCCCCTTAAAATTAGTCGCCATTTTGAAACTTAATGCGCATGCTCAGAGTTGCTATAGTGACTGACTGACTGCACTGGGTGAATTCGCTCTATTCTTCTCTTTCTCTGCATACTTGTTTGTTCAGCAGTGCGCAGACCAGTGGCGGTTCTAGGATTGAATTTCTGGGGGGGCCTTAATGATATGGGTGGGATAATTAGTGGGTGCGGTCAACCAGGCTTGCAGGATTTCGTTTGGAAAGTCAAAATTTAGAAGATTAGGCCTCTTAAATGAGCTCCTTTGTGGTTTACAGACTGTTTACACAGTCAAGCACTGCAGCTGTTTCACAGTTTACATAGATAAAACTAATTTTATACTTCACCACAAAATTTTGGGGGGGCCATGGCCCCCCAGGCCCCCCCCCTAGATCCGCCACTGGCGCAGACTAAGTGATTAACCAGGGGCGGATTTGGGTCAAGTTTCATGGTAGGGCAAAGAAGTGGGTGGGGCATTTATAACTTTCAATAAGTAGTTATAACTATTAATAACTTGTAATTAACTTTTTATAATAATTATAATGAATTGAGACAAAAATTAATGTTGATTTGTTCTTATCTCCGTTTTCAAATCTGTTCTTATCTCCACTTCTATGTGTACTGTTCCACTGCTTTGTGGATGAGAAGATAGTTGGTTGGGGCCGTTTAAAATTGTAGTTAAGAAGAGACAGCTGCTAATGCTGCTTACTCATTGTCCTTTTTTTCAGTGCACGTTATGTGGTTTTAAAGATTAAAGAAGCCATAATAAGCACACACACAAGTTTATTTAAGATGATGCATATGAATTTCATTATATAATTATGAATCTCATTATCTTATAAAGTTGATGCCTGGGCAAAAACCCGGGCTTGCCCAGGTTCAGATCCGCCCCTGTGATTAACAGTTCTTTTAAGAGCTAATAGGTAAATTATTTTGAAATAACTCTAACAAATTAGGCTTC